GTGGCTGCATCATTCGAGAAAGAGACGAATCCTCTCAGCAGGACGCTCGAGAAAGTACCCGAAACTGGCCGAAGGCAGAGTGCTGACTCTCGGCAGAGTGCTGACTCTCGTGAAGGCAGAGTGCTGACTCTCGTGGGAAACGTTAATAAGGAACACAGGTGCTAGTCTTGCATCACATGCACAGGACATGGCCGTCCTGAACTTGAAGGCAAGGCTGAAGCACGTCGACTTGTATACCTGTATCCATACCAATATAGACTTGAGTGATACGACACCACACCGACGTCTTTACTACATGTAGTAGCTCGTGGTATGGCTAAGGGTAGATCTACATGAGGCTTAGCCTTACTAACCCTTGCTAGTAGTTAGTAGTGGTTTTAAAAGATAAGGCAGGCTGAACCTAGCAAAGGAGCAAATTGGGTGTTTTCAAATGTCCTTCGGTACAATGTACACTGTACATGTACTAGTACTGTACTAGTAGTAGTATGCCACTCGGAGCACACCATTGTCGGGACATGACTGGTTGTATACAGCACATGTACGCCATGATTGTAGTGCTAGCAGCATTACAACTGAGTCTGTGCATGTACCGGCAGTGCACAAATCCATGGACTGACCGGGCCACAGTGTGGCCGCATAGTAGGCACTTCAGTCACGTGACAAGACCTGTCAAATTTTGCTGAGGTCTGAGTGCATACTTGCGTGGTATCAGCCAAGTGCATGCGCAAAACTGTACAGGTACGCACCATGCTTCGTTGTACGGGCATGTAGTTCAGTGCATCGTGCTGCTCTGACGTTCAGCTTTCAGTAGAGCCTACATACGTCATAGTGCGTACATTTTTACGACTTGCAGGTCATGTACATGTATACACTTCCAGCAAAGAGTTTTTTCACAAGGAAATGTTGTTAGTACGCGTTGGAAACGTTGCCTATCGTCTTCAGCGTCGTGTTTCCATTCAGAAACAGTTGAGTTCTTGTTCACCAGGGTTTGCGCATAGCTGCGCAAGGAGGAAATATGGACGTAGATAGTGAGGAGAAGGGCTTGAGGCGGAGGAGAAAGATGCGTCGTCGTCCTACCTGAGCCAGTTTCAAAGCGTGCTGAAAGCCAATGTTTGACCCTGTTGTGCTTGAACGGCTACTGATGTTTACGAACAATCAAACGGCACAGTGGCTACAGGAGAAATCCGCCGATGAGAGGGACACTTTGATCGACGCATCCAGGCGCGCTGCACCAAAATTCTGTTCGAATTTCGAGGCTCGCCAGCAGACAATTCATGACTGCTGTATGGAGCAAGTGAAGGAGAGCGGATCAGGTAGCACACGCAAGAGAGAACAACATCAAAAGGAAATGGAGACTTTGACGAAGATCACGGCTGTTGGTGGACTCTGGATCTCGAAGGAGGCAGCACAGGAGCAGCTCTCAAAAATGTTCTGTGTCACTGGCGAACGCCTTGCTCTCAATTCGCAGTTTCACTTCTGCAAGTTTATTCTGCTGCAGAAGGTCCGAAGTAATTTAGTTTGCACTTTCTACTGGTACAAAGGAGCTGCCAATAGAGAAACTGGTTTCCAACATCGAACCTCTGTTTGAAGTGGCGTTAACGTGTGCACGTGCGTTGTGTATGCAGAAATTCCGCTTTCAATTCATTTAGCGGATGCTATCTCTGTGTGCTTACCTTCTGAGTGCCAGAAGAATGTCTTTTATAGCATTTAGCAGCGGCAGTTGCCTGCTGGTGAACTCTAATGTCGATACTAGCTTATTACACAGCAAACCGAAGCTGTTACTATGGGGTTGCCATGGGTTACTATGGGTTGCTATGGGGTTGCTATGGTGATTGTGGTAACAATTGCCGTATTCTGGACTATTGTGAACTTTGATAAGTATTTTGTTGATCCATAAACGGTTGTTGGTGTTTGTGAGAGCCGTGTGTTTGAAAATGCCACTCTGATGTTTTGTAACTATATCCACTGATAACACTTTGGGGATGCTGTTGATACCACAACTTGTATTGCTTTCGCCTCATGCAATTGCCTCTCTTCAACCCTTCATATCTCACTTGTGTCTTTGTGGATTTCAATGAAATTTTGTGTGTGGCCTCGTGATACCCACCACTGTCGATTTGCGATGCTAAACCTGGGAGAAACCCGACTTGAAAAAACCGGCTGAAGTGCCTACGCATAGTACATGACTGTAGTTCTAAGTCCGTTGGGTAGTAGTATGACATCAAGCAGGCCATCCTTCACTCTTGAACTAATACTTTGACGTCTTCCTTGCATGTGCAGGCCGCGGGGTGCACTCCATCAGCATACAAAGGATTTTCACATCCTTATTCCTATCCTGTATCCTTTCCGGAGAAGAAGGGCATGCTGCCCGCCGCCCCCCCCCCCCCCCCCCCTCTCTCTCTCTCTCTCTCTCTCTCTCGCTGTGGGCCAAGTAGACATGGCTTCGGGGTCTGTGCCTCTAAGCCGAAGACTTGATCTAATTCGGTGTGACTCTGTGAGATAGGTGGTAGGTGAAACAAGCAATTTGCCAAATGCAATTTGTACCAATTGAAAATCGACATGGATTGAGCAAGTCCGTGCTCCGAATCAAAGCCCCGAGGCTTGCTAAAACACTGCCTCCTTGGCGAATATAATTCCCTCATTCCTTTGCAGCTATTCGTTTGCATTTCTATGACATGTCTTCCTTTGAAGTATGATAGGTTTGGTAGCAAACAGACCAGGAAGGTACTTAACTGGCACGTCAAGCATTGGCCGAGAGACCATGATGTAGCAGTACTAGTACTAGTATGTAAATCTCCAAGGAACATTTCTAGATCGTTTCCGTTTTTTATATACTCAGTAATTTTACCTGCACGTTCAACCTCAATCAAGGCATGCATACCGCCTTGGCCATGAATGATGATGTACATGATTGTACATCATACTGCAACCAGACCATCAGGCTCAGGTATCGGGTGCATGAATCATGATTGTACGTCTTCTGTTCTGCTCTGCTCCTGATGACCACTACTACAAAATATATGCACAGACCTTGTATTGTACTGTTCCTGACTTGAGCTGTGCGTGTGGCTGTTGTTTCGTGTTGCGACCGAAATGTTGGTACATCTACGTAGCTACATGAACAATTGAACATACATTAATAACTGCACGTGCCAGCAAGAGCACAGTGAAGCATTATCACTATCAGTATAATTTGCACCGGCCCCGCCGCGCCTATTCTCTTGGTACCTGTAACAGAATACACGTCACGTCATGTCATTACCGAGCTGTCCAACACCGAGCTGTCCAACACCGAGCTGTCCAACACGGAGCTATCCAACACCAAACTCCAAAGTAAACCCTGAAAAATCTGGATAGCATCAAAACATTCACCAAGATCATCAAGAGTATGGCCGTCCGCCCCTGTTGTTCCCCTCTTTCGTATTTACATATTTCGTCCCATCAGAAGAGACCTCTTCCCTGGCCACATGTCGGTCGAGACGTTCTTTTATTTTTGAACTCCTTTAATTTAAATATCACAATCGAAAACTGGTGGTCCACGTCTACGTCTAGTCTGTTGGAGTGCCTATACAGCGAGCGAGAGCTTGAAGAGTGACTGCTGATCCACATTGGCCCCATGCTGTGCCATCTAGGTGCAGCCTGCAGCAAAGCTGCAGAGGTGTTGAAAGATTTCACTCACCGTCTCCACAAGACGCCTGCCTGCTACTTGCCTTCTCCGCTCGCATAGCGCCTGCCACTTGACTTTCAACAACAGCCCCGAAGAGGGCTAGCTGCCTGACAACACTGGTGCCTAGTGGTAGTAGTGGTAGTAGTGCTTGGCATAGTGATACACCATCAAACACACTGTCTTATCTGGCAGCACGAGGATTGGCACACGGACAGTGTCGATGACGATGTCATGTGCGACCCTCGCCATCGCCACAGCCGGGCACTGGCACATGTTAGTTTCGACCACGGAACGGAACTCGTAGCTATAGCTATTGTCAAGGCAGTAGGGTGGAAGAGTAGCTAGTGCTCTTCTACTAAACTCTAGTCTGTTATGAATACTACCCGCGGTTGGTGACCACACTCTGCATAGAGCCACTACACTGTCTACAGTATCCGAGTCGGACAGAGGAACATGTGAATTCGTGGCCGTAGTGGGCTGGTCCCTCGCCTGACGTCATTTTCCCGATCACAATGCCCGCTGTCATCCATACTTCACATACTCGGTCAGTAGGCCGACGAACGTGTAACTCGGTACCTTATGAGTCCTAACACTAACAGACTGGCAGATCGCTGAGACTACGAGTACGAGTACAGGAAGTAGTAGAGTAACTCTGACCGCATAGTTCTGGGGACACACTATACCATGACAGACAGAAAGTTGTGTGTGCGCACGCTTGTGTGCGCGTGTGTGCATATGCGTGCCACACTGTCCGCAGCCAGCTACTTCGCGTTTCCCGCCACAGATTACCAGGACTGGTGCCCGGGTTCAATCCAGAATACCTGCTTTGCGTAGCTGGCAGGGCTGGATTGCCAGGGGATTGGCAAGGCATTAGCACCGAATAGCCCTTGTTGTCTACTCCCCTAAGACATAGACAAACTCGAAGCAACTTCTTTTCACTCGCAGACTGCCTGGGCCTGAAGCAGTTAGCGAGCCAGTGCCTCTGCCTCTGGCCGCGACAAATACCTCCAGCACACCATATCATTCTCTGATTGACTGAGTGGAGGCGAGCTGCTAGCATGTAACCCTGTTTTGGACCACGACTCCCGTAGCACGACCCCACTGCTGCTAGCTTGACACGACCCCCCCCCCCCCCCCTCCCCCCTCTCCTCTCCTTCTTGCCATGCGGTTATCCGCGTTACCATCGCTTGTCTACTCGATCGCCATCGCTAACCACCCGCGTCAACTCACACAATGCACACGATGTGCAGATATAAATCATGCGCAGGAAGTCTTTCCAAGTTTAGTTGGGGCGATCGACTCCTCGAGGACTGAACTGTCGAGCACATACTAGTCATCGTCCGTGGTGGGCAATGCACCCCGGACCGACTCACGCAGCCACTGGTAGATCTACCTTGAGTGCTGCTGGTGAACTCCAACAGCGCAGCACTGCTGAAGACGAGTAAGGGCCAGCAAGGCCAAGTAGGTACATCCAGTATCTAGCTAGCACTTTATCAGCAGGCCAGGACGCTGCAACTCACACTGTCTCAGTAGTAGTGTAGTGGTCAGTAATCGTCAGGCTGGGATACACTTCCACACATACCTCTCCGGACATCTGCCATCCGCAAACTGCAGCGTAGTGCATGCTCGTAGCTGAAACATCGACCATCCTGCTGATTCGTGGCCTACTTGAGGCCTTCTCAGGAGGCTCGCGACCAGCCACTTGCAAGTCAGAGTTGTGATCGAACACCCTTTGCACTTGCTGAACTTCGCATAGTGCAAGTGCTGAAGCTGTGAAGGCAGCCAGCATAAACGCACTCTGACCCATAACTGGCGCACAGGCGCTAGTTCAGGCAGTAGCCCAAGCTGGGAGTTGATATTGATAGCAGAAAGTCAGTGTGCACGTCTGGAGATCTTGGAGGTAGCGAGAGAAGCCGGTGTGGTGGGCAAAGTTACAGTATTCGAAGCATCGTCGCCATTATTGTCATGGCTTGTCGCAGCGGCCGCTTGAGCCGATGGTCGGTCTCTTTCTGGAAGTGTGTAACGACTGTCTCTCTCCTGTGCGGACTGGCAAGGTAATGTGTACAGCATGCATACATACACACACACTCCTAGCTATGCTCGCTCTTTATTTAGTCTTTAGCATTACTGCGGTACTTGCAGGTGCTGGCTGTGCCTGTGGTCTGTGCTATGCTGCTGCTGGCCAATGCTAGTCGCCCTGCTTAGTTGGACGGCCGGCCGGACAAGCTCCTCTGTG